GTGTTATATATAGAATTATCTTTATAAATAAATATATAAAATTATCAGCAATCTGGTTTTATCTCTCTAGAGAACCCTGTCTAACACACTCTGCTTAATTCCAAGTACCTAGAACACTAACCAGCATGTAGTAGCCACTCAATAAACAATTGCTGGGTGAACATTGCCTTCTTTGGGGGCCCCTGGGAGGAAAGAAGTGTGCTTGCACTGCTGACCGGCCCCTGACATGCTGGGAGGGAGACAGCCCTGCAGAGCTGCCTCAAGTGGCCTCCTCCTCTTCCTCTGCCTCCTCTTCCCTAACCTTGGGTCCTGCATTAGAGGCAGCAGATCCCTTCCTCCCCCCAGGTTGTGGCTGGAAACCAGTAGGGGTGCTCTTTGACATAGACCTTCTGGAGTCCAAGCTCTCCAGCAGGGTTCTGCTCTGTGAAATCTCCTACCTCGTGAATCAGTTCTTTGATGGCATCTCTGGTCCCTCTCCTGGGCCTCTAAGGAATCCAGGCCTCAGGTTCTCAGGACGAGGTTGTATGGGGTAGTAGGGTGTGGGGCTTGGTCTCCTTCCCTCTATGGGTGCCCCAGAGAGATGCTGGGGGGCTTCCCTCAGTTAGCATTGCTGCACTGCACACCCTCAATAAGCCTCCTTGTGTTACAAGGGAGAAGAACATTTATAAAAAATATAAAGTCTAACCTAGTCCTCTTATAGGAAGTCTCATAATTGTGAAGCTGTGCATTTTCTTTAATAGATCTGTAAACTAAAATCTATTTCAATAAAAATATCAACAGAACTTAGGGAGTGAGCCTTGACAAATAATATTAATCTTAAGCTAGGTATGTAAATATTTGAGACTAACGGGGAATTTCTTAAATAGGAAAGAAACCTACTGCCACAAACCCCACAGGTCTTAAAGAAGGAGATGGATGCTGTGAACATGTAACAATTTAAACATCTGAATAGGGAAAACAATTACAAACAAATCCCACACACTATGGAAAGTATTTGTAGCATAATAATGGCCTAGTATACATAGAAATATACAAAAATTGGGGCAATCAAAAATTTAAACAAGCAAAGACTATAATCAGATAATTCATCACAAAAGAGAAAATTTTTAAATAAAGAATATGTGAAAAGATGTTCACATTTATTCATGAAAGAAATGTATGACAAAATAGTAATGAAAAGCCATTTTCCACTGCCAGATGAGCACAGATTAACGTGTTTGACAATATACAATGTTACTAAGGGTGTAGAGAATGCAAATTGGCCGATGTTTTGGAGCACAAATTAGAACTAGCTATTGTGGGGGAGTGGAGAAGGCCACACGTGTTTCGACCCTCCTCCCATTGGGAGGTGCAGTCCATGTTCTCGTCTTTCCCTTGAATTTGGGCTGGTCCAGTAATTTCCTGACCAATAAAATATGGTAGAAGTGACACCATATAAGACACAATAATAATTTATAAATTATTAAGGGTGCATGGGGGAGAGGGGAGGAGG